GATTAGTCCCCGGAATGAGGTGATGACCTTCTGCAACAAGAGTTTGACTTTGAATGGCCAAGGTTTTTATTCCCCTCCTGCTTTCTGCAGGTGCCCCCTGTTTTTCGAGACTCCTAGACTCCTAGAAGAGTTTGTGTCGGAAGGGGCCTTAAAGCTCATCTAGACAAGGTTGCTCCAAGCCCCGCCCGAGCCGGCCTCGAACACTTCCAGGGACGGGGCAGCCACGGCTTCTCTGGACGACCTGTGCCAGGTCCTCACCACGCTCACAGAGAAGAATTTTTTTCCAGAATCCCATCTAATCGTGCCCTCTGCCAGTGTGAAGCCGTTCCGCCTTGTTCTGTCACTGCAGTCCCTCGTAAATAGTCTCTCCTATCCAAGCCTTCTTGGTCCTCCCTGTTGTGTTGCAAAATTTGCAAGTTGATGCTGTGCCAGGGCTGTGCCAGCAGCCAAGGGCTGACCCGGGTGCAGGACCTTGCGCTTGAGGTCTGTTGTCGCTGGCTTTGTTCAGCCTGGAGGAGGCTGAGCTGAGATCTCATGGGGGGCTGCAGCTTCCTGCCAAGGGGCAGCAGCGATTTCTGCTGCGTGGGACCAGGGACAGGACCCCAGGGAACGGCTGGAGCTGTGTCGGGGGAGGGTTAGGTTGGATATTAGGAAAAGCTTCTTCCCCCAGAGGGTGGTCGGCCACTGGAACAGGCTCCCCAGGGCAGTGGTCTTGGCCCCAAGGCTGCCAGAGCTCAAGGAGCGTTTGGACAACGCTCTTGGTGGCACTTGGTGGGATTGCTGGGCTGTCCTGTGCAAGGCTGGGAGCTGGACTGGACCATCCTTGTGGGTCCCTTCCAGCTCAGGATATTCTGTGATTCTAACTCTTTGGTTAACCCTTCCTCTCCCCACAAAGAGCTGGCAAAGCTGTTGGGGGTGGGGCAGAACAAGGGAAGCGCCAGCACTGTTGCTGTCTCTATGACACAACAATGGGAGTCCCAACATTCCGTCCCTGGAGACGCTCCAAGAGGAGCGTCCAGACCGGGGTCCAGTCAACAGAACGGAGCGGCCGCCGAAGCTGACTGACCATGGCCCTGTCAGCTCTGTGGCAGCGTTGTGTGAGCTGGAGCTCAGCCATAGCCCAGCTCCTGCAGCCATTCGTCTCTCGCGGAACCTCCTGCCCCACAGGTGAGGACAGACCCTGAGCCCAAAAGCCCCCGGACGCACGGCGGGGACATTCACAGCCCTTGCTCCCCTGCCCGTTCCCCTCCTCCTCCTCAGTCCTCTGAGCGCCCAACACCCCCCGACTGGCATGTGACCTCCAGCATTTGCCCTTTCTCGCAGGATCAGCCAACCTCGGCCAACAGCCTGGGCAGAAGCAGCAGCCCTTGCCAGCTCCCTCTGCCCCACCAGCAGGTATGGCAGTCCCATCTGCCTTGGTCCCTCGGCATTCCCTGCCCCCCAGCCCCTCCAACCCCCAGGCCTGCCCTGGCTCCTCCAGCCCTGCTGGCACCTGCAGCAGCCACAGCACCCCTGTACCCCCGCCAGCTGGGGCACCTTGGCTCAGCACGGCACAGCGAGCAGACCTGGCATTGCCTGGGCCACCTCTGTTCAAGCAAGAGTTTTTAGAGATATTTTCCCAGGATCTTGGGGCCATTTCTGCCATTTTGCCGTCCCCTGTGCAACTCCATGGCCGTGGCACGGCAGCTCACCCCGCAGGGATGGTCCCTCACGCAAGCTGCCGCTCAGAGCAGGGGGATGCCTGTGTTCGGGGCCGGCTCAGCGGGTGCCCTAGGGGACTTTCTCAGCCCCGAGCCCCCCCATCTCCCTTCTCCCCTGTGCCAATGGCTCCGAGCAGTGACTGTTCCAACCCCCACCCATATCTTCTGCTCCGCAGGGACACGGACTCAGTTGCCTCCACCAGCCCCCTTGGCAAGCAGCCATGGCATTGCTCCTCCATCAGGCAATGCCCGGGGCTGCAGGAAGCCCCTGGCCCCAGTCCCACCAGTGCAGGACACCCAACACGGCCCTACCAGCTCAGCCAACCCCTCAGGGACACCCCTGGGCCGTGGCAGCCCTCCAGACACCAGCGTCCCCATGGATTTGGACACCACCCCAGCTCTTGACATCAGTCTGGGCAGTGATGTCCCCATGGACGAGGACAGCCCGTCAGGCCGTGACCTCTCCTTGGCCAGTGACGTCACCATGGACGAGGACAGCCCGTCAGGCCGTGACCTCTCCTTGGCCAGTGACGTCACCATGGACGAGGACAGCCCGTCAGGCCGTGACCTCTCCTTGGCCAGCGACGTCACCATGGACGAGGACAGCCCGTCAGGCCGTGACCTCTCGCTGGCCACTGACGTCCCCATGGATGGTGGCTCCCCCTCAGGCAGTGATCACCCTGTGAGCTGTGACATCTCAGTGAGCAGCGATGTCCCCATGGATGAGGACACCTTCCCGAGGGCTGACATCTCCCTGCCCAGTCACAGCACTGCCAGCCACCCAGGCCCACTCCACGGCCAAGCCATCGGGGCCCATGGGGTGACTCCAGCCAGCGACACTGGGCTGCGTCGCAAGGTCCTGCTGAAAGGGACTCGGAGCCACTTGCATCGCTCCCAGGGAGCCGTGGGCACCAGCCGGGATGATCGCAGCAGCGTCCCCGTGCCCACGGACCATGCTGGCACCAGTGGCACCAGCCCCCGGCCCAAGAACACCTCGCTCTGCCCGCCCAAGAAGATGCCGCCCACTGACTGCAGTGTCCCCAAGCCTTCCAGAGCCGTCCTGAGCACGGGACACTGCAACGCAGGCGGCATCAAGCCTCAGGACCCTCAGCAGGGTGCGGGCACAGGCCTGCCACCGCCTCAGAGCAGCGTGTCACCACGCAACAGTGCTCTGGAAAGGCGGGGCACAAAGAGGAAGAGGGGCTCTGGGCCAAGCACTGGGAGCAAGTGCAAGGCTCCTGCAGCCAGGGCTGGGGCAGGAAGTTGTTGAGGGACAGATCGTTTGGGGATCTGTCCCAGGGGGAGGGACAGATCGTTTGGGGATCTGTCCCAGGGGGAGGGACAGATCGTTTGGGGATCTGTCCCAGGGGGAGGGACAGATCGTTTGGGGATCTGTCCCAGGGGGAGGGACAGATCGTTTGGGGATCTGTCCCAGGGAGAGGGATAGATCGTTTGGGGATCTATCCCAATCTGAGGGAGGGAGGGAGGGAGGGTGTTTATGTAGATAGAGATGTAGGTAGAGACGTAGATGTAGATGTAGGTGTAGATATTGATGACCGTTTTTTTCTGGTTATCAATAAAAGATTTTTTTTTATATTCCATAACCTGTCTGTGTCTGCATGGAATGGGGAGGGAGTGCCGGGTGGCAGCAGGAAATGGCACCAAGCAGGTCCACCAAGGCCCAAAGGGCTCCAAGGGCACCCAAAGGGCACTCCAGGCCTGAGTCAGTGCCGGAGGTGCAGGCATTCCTGGAGGGTCCCCTTCCCCTGGGCAAGCAGCCCTTTGGCATGGGAGCCAGAACAGAGGGGTCCGTGCAGGACTCACGCACATGGCCCCACGCCGAAAGCAGCCCCGAGCACAGCCTGGGCACCGTCCTCCCACTCTGGGGCTTTAGAAGGCTGCTCCCACTGCTCCCACTGACCCCACCATGTCCCCAGTCATCCCACTGCAGCCCCAGACAGAGCTCCTGCAGGCTGCCCCGGGGCTGCACTGGACAGGGGCGGTAAGGGAGCGGGAAGAACGTGCTGGGAACCATATGCAGGGCCTCACACAAGTCCAGGGAGACGGCCTCTGTAGATCTCTGGGAGGGAGCACTTGGGATGTATCGAGCTCTGTCGGGGGGTGGACGGCGAGCCACTCGGGACTCGATGGGTCAGGATCAAAGGGCAGGCCGGGAATGGGGATGCTGCTGAGGGCACTGCGGGGACACCGCGGGCCTCCTGAGCAGCAGCAGCAGGATGGGGATGAGAGTTCTACAGGCAGCTTGAAGCAGCCTCAAAGTCACAGTCCCTGGCTCTCGTGGGGCATTCAACTACCCTGAGAGCAGCTGGAGAAGCAACGCAGCCAAGCACAAACAGTCCAGGAGCCTCCTGGAAGGCATGGGTGAAAACTTCCTGACCCAGGCGGTGGAACCTGCCACAAGGAATGCTGTGCTGCTCCACCTCATCCTAACACACAGGAAAGGCCTTGTTGGAGATGGGAAGGTAAGGGACAGCCTTGCCTGTCGAGACCACGGCACTGTGGTCTTCTGAAGGTCCAGGTATTGGGAGACACATAAATACCAGGAGGCAGAGGAGCTAACTACGAAGAATAAGCTTTTATTTCAATGAAACTTTTATATCAATATTCACTGAACAAACCTCAGTGAGGCCTCTCAACTCAGTGGAGGTCGCAGCCCCTTTTATCCCCTTTGCCCGGAGCGCTGCTCCCTCCCCAGCGTTTCTCCACTGGCTGACGTACTCCGGGGTTACCGGCTTCCCGACACGCCTGCTCTGTGTCCCCCATTATGTCCCTCGGAGGGGGCTGGGAAGGTCACTGGCACTTTTCAAAACGGAGGCCACAGCACACTTCAAAACGGAGGACGTGGCCACCTGAGACCTTCTCTGCTGCTGATCGGTCCCCCTGTCTCTGGGCAAAGGGCACCCCTTTGTAACCAACAATTGAACCACCAGTAACTTACTGCTTCTTACTGCGAACTGCAACTACCCTACCAACTTTGCAAGCACACTTTCTTCTTCCTAAGGGTGGAGTTGAGGACTGGGGGAGGACGAAGCAGGGCAGCATGGAAGATCAGAACCACGCACCTCCGGAGAGCTGACTTGAGCCTCCTCAGGGATCTTCTTCCTCCTTGCCTGATGCCCTTTTTCCCCTCACTCACTGCTCTAACCCCCCAATCTGATTTGCTGCACACCCTGTCTTCCTGAAACACCGCCCAGCTGGTCCTTCTCGATGGGCCGAGCTCCTTGTTTCCCTTTGCCCTTGTGCGAATACCAGGGAATGGGAAACACCCTCATTTTTATGGTTGGGCTTTCGCTGCCCAGCCTCACTTTCTGCAACAGTTTCACAGTTTTCAATCTGGTTCTGTCCCTGTTTCTTTCAGTGCCCAGATTTTCTCCTTAGCAGCCAGCTGACATCCGTGCAGTCACTGTGCCCAGAACTGCCAGGAGAACTCCACAGGTTCAGAGGCTCAAGCGGGCAGAACCTATCTTGGATACAGCCTTGCCCGCTTTGAACATCGGATTCCACGTCAGGAGCCCGGTGCTGAGCACTCCTGAAGAACCCCCTTTTCTAGACCCAATCTCCAAGCACAACGGATCACAGCACACACCTAAAGTGCCTTTGACCGTCACCTGACAGAACCCCCTTCTTCTTGTCCACGCTTGTCTCCCCATGGAACGGAGAGCAGAAAAAGACTCTCCAGTGTAAGGCCAGAACTGCCAGGTTTACGGCAGAGGCAGAGAAATTGCCCAACCCTTGCCACCAGGATGGTGAGCTTGCTCCAGGATCCTTCCACCAGGCAGTTTTGGTTGCATTGTTTGGTTTTATGTCAACGTGCATCGCTTTCAGCAATGTTAACTTCCAATGCTGAGAAGTCACGGGATTAGTCCCCAGAATGAGGTGATGACCTTCGGTAACCAGAGTCTGACTTCGTATGGCCAACGCTTTTATTTACCTCCTGCTTTCTGCAGGTGCCCCCTGTTTTTCAAGACTCCTAGAAGAGTTTGTGCTGGAAGGGACCTGAAAGCTCATCTAGACAAGGTTGCTCCAAGCCTCGTCCAACCCGGCCGTGAACACTTCCAGGGATGGAAGGGGCAGCCACGGCTTCTCTGGACAACGTGTGCCGGGGCCTCACCACTCTCACGGGGAAGAATTTTTTTCCAGAATCCCATCTAATCCTGCCCTCTGCCAGTGTGAAGCCATTCCCCCTTGTTCTGTCACTGCAGTCCCTTGTAAATCGTCTCTCCTATCCAAGCCTTCTTGGTCCTCCCTGTTGTGTTGGAAAATTTGCAAGTTGATGTTGTGCCAGGTGGCACCAGCCAAGCCCTGACCCGGGTGCAGGACCTTGCGCTTGAGGTCTGAAGTCACTGGCTTTGTTCAGCCTGGAGGAGACTGAGCTCAGATCTCATGGGGGGCTGCAGCTTCCTGCCAAGGGGCAGCAGCAGCGATTTCTGCTCCGTGTGACCAGGGACAGGACTCCATGGTTTTTAGCTGGCTCCCTACCAAGTCTCCAAACATTACCATTAGATGTGTCCCCCCCCCCCCAAACCTCAGGGAGAAGAGGGAGAAAAACAACTAAGAAATCCCGAAACGAGTGAGAGACAGCTAAAGTGATATATATAAATATATAAAAATATATTTACAGTTTTGTTACAATTATATACAATGAAAATATATACAATTTCACAAGGGAAAGGGAAGGGGGAAGGGAAAAGGAACAAAACCAAAATTAAATATTTATATAGCTCAATATCTAAGTACTAAAAGAGTTAGCAAAGAAATATCTCACTACTCTCCTTGGGACAACCGAGAGTCGCTCTGGACCGATCGCTGGCAACCTCTGTCTCCCAAGGTCGGCAAGGCCTAACCAGGCCTCGCTCCCCAACACGACAGACTCAACAGCAGGGAACCTGCACCTCCAAGCCGCCGGAAGGAAAGAGAGCGAAGGCCTCTCTTCCTTTCTTCTTATAGTCTGCCTTACGTAAAAATTGTAGGGAATACTGGGTAAATCTGGACCCTTCCTTGGTTACAAACTGGTCACCAAAGAAGGCCTAGGCCAAACTACCACAATGTTGCATTAGCTACTCTGCACTAAAACCTCCCATGGACATTGAGAGGCACACTATGAGTTCCCTTGTATGAAGTGGCTTTCTTAACTGTATGTAAACGTAGAAGTGCAGGGAGTAGCCAACATGGTGTAAATTCATATATAGCTTGTAAATTCACACCCTACCTTCCTTGTATAAGCAAACCAATAGTCAAGGCCTTGCATTCATTCCACTGGTATAAACCTGAATGAATAGATAAACCTTACACCTCACCCTGAAGGTAAACATATTTAGGCTAATGTGATGTGTGATGCAGGGAATGCTGTCAGGAGCCAGGGCTTCACAGTAAATAATCTTGGG